GGCCTCCATGGCCGTCCGGTTGCTCTACAAAAGAGGAGCATGATAATGTACACCCATGAGCTCGGGCTGAGGAACAAAACCCCTAAAGCACAAAATAACAACAAAAAAAGCAAAACCCCAGCAACGTGAAAGAAAGGGGGAGGGTGAGGCAAGAGGAGAGGAAGGCGAGGGAAGAAAGAAAGGCGAGCCGGGCGGCCGCCGCGCGTTGGGGGCCAGAGCCGCGGCCACGGGACTCCGAGCCTGACCTAACTGGAGTCAGGAGACGCGAGCTGGAGCGGGGTGGGCACAGCACCGGACGCTCCTAGCGCCGGGGCGCGCAAGTCCGGCAGGGGAGGAGACCCTACAGCCGGCGCGGCCCGCTAACGGCCCGCCAAGCCCCTCGGCCCGGCCCTGGCTCCCGCCTTCCCGGGACCAGGTCCGGCCCACGGCCCACAACGACTCCCGGGTCGCCTCTCCCTCCCCCGCCCTCCCTCCTCTCCCCCGACCGGACCGGGCCGGCACTCATGCAGGGAACGAGAGGCCTCCTCTTGAGGTGCTTCTGGAGAGTTGGCATACGTCTTGATACTAAGCCAGGGAATCAGCTCTCATCTCGAGACGATTTGGGGTACACGGAGCATTCCTCGAGTTGCTGTGCTGAAGTTGGTGTTCCTCTAGACTTGGGACAGTGTTCTCGGGGCATCTCTGGAGTTACCTGAAGGAAGTCAAGCCACTGGTCGTGTTGAATGGGGAACGGGGGATGGCTCTGGAGTCAAGGCAGGGGAATCGGGCCTCATCTCGAGTTGATTTGGGGCACGTGGAGCTGCTGTGCGTTGCTGGGGTGACCTCAGGGTCCGTGTAGACTTGTGACAGTGTACTTGGGGACTGTCTCGAGATCCATTAAGCAAGTCGAAGCTCCTGACTTGTTTGATGGGGATCACGGAATAGCTCTGCATGCACTGCAGGGGAATGGGGCCTCATCTCGCCTCTAGGGGGAAGTCTCAAGGTTTTTCTCGATTTGCGGCAGGGAACTTGGGTATGTTCTCGAGTTACGGCGGGGATGGCCCTTCAAAATACGTGTTTATTCACTGACGTCAGGACTCCTGTCTAGTAACGAGGGACACCTCCGGAATCTCTTCGAGGCTTGCCAGGGCAAAAGCGATGCTTCTCGAGGTGAGGCAGGGCACCCAAGGACCCTTTCCAGTAGCCACAGGGATTTTGGGATTCCTATCAGTATTCAAGAGGAGTCAGGCATCGTCACCTTTTGAAGCAGTGAACTCCGCCTGCCTCTCGAGGTGTCAACGGGATGTGAGGCATTCCGTCAAAATGAGGCACGGGCCTAGAGCTTTCTCTAAGGTCTCCACAAGGGATTCAGACATCCTTTCATGTTGTGAGATGAAAGATGAGCCTGTATTCAAGCCACTGCAAGGAAATCCGGCCTCCTTTCAAGTTAGGGCTTCTCGCTGTATATTCCCCTTGAGGCAGCAAACTCGGGGTCCGTCACACACACCTATTTCTGAGAGAAGCCTACTCTTGAGGTGCTTCTGGAGAGTTGGCATACGTCTTGAGCCAAAGCCAGGAAATCAGCTCTCATCTCGAGACGATTTGGGGTACACGGAGCATTCCTCGAGTTGCTGTGCTGAAGTTGGTGTTCCTCTAGACTTGGAACAGTGTTCTCTGGGCATCTCTGGAGTTCCTGAAGGAAGTCAAGCGACTGGTCGTGTTGAATGTGGAACGGGGGATGGCTCTGGAGTCAATGCAGGGGAATCGGGCCTCATCTGGAGTTGATTTGGGGCACATGGAGCTGCTGTGCGTTGCTGGGGTGACCTCAGGATCCGTCTAGACTTGTGACAGTGTACTTGGGGACTCTCTCGAGATCCATTAAGCAAGTCGAAGCTCCTGACTTGTTTAATGGGGATCACGGAATTGCTCTGCAAGCAATGCAGTGGAATCGGGCCTCATATCGCATCTAAGGTGAAGTCTCATGGTTTTTCTCGAGTTGCGGCGGGGACCTGGGGTATGTTCTCGAGTTACGGCGGGGATGGCCCTTCAAAACACGTGTTTATTCAGTGACGTCAGGACTCCTGTCTAGTAACGAGGGACACCTCACGAATCTCTTCGAGGCTTGGCCAGGCAAAAGGGACGCTTCTCGAGGTGAGGCAGGGCCCCCAAGGACCCTTTCCTGTAGCCACAGGGATTTTGGGATTCCTATCAGTATTCAAGAGGAGTCAGGCATCGTCACCTTTTGAAGCAGTGAACTCCGCGTGCCTCTCGAGGTGTCAACGAGATGTGAGGCCTTCCGTCAAAATGAGGCAGGGACCTAGGGCTTTCTCTAAGGTCTCCACAGGGGATTCAGACATCCCTTCATGTTGTGAGATGAAAGACGAGCCTGTATTCAAGCCACTGCAAGGAAATCCGGCCTCCTTTCACGTTAGGGCTTCTCGCTGTATATTCCACTTGAGGCAGCAAACTCGGGGTCCTTCCCACATACCTATTGCTGAGGGAATCCTCCTCTTTTTTTTTTTTTTAATTTTAAAGTTTACTTTAAAAATATAAGTATCTCCCAATATTTAACAGGTAAAGAAAAGAGCATATTGGTTTATTTTCTGTAGTTGTTATATTTTATTTTCCATGTAATACTGATTAAAAATATTTACACACCTACTTTTAAGTCCACAGTTTAGCATTCTTATTTGTATGGCTTTAAAAATTATAGCACACGATCTTTATATTAAGGATTGGGGGAAAAGATTCATTCAAAACAAAGCCTGATATATTATATACATGTTTTTCTCTGTACTTTGTTTTAAATACATTAATTTTTAAATGATGCTCATCTTGTTTTCATCTGGTGGTAAAATTACTAGTGCAACTTTTTATCAAAATAAAGTTTACCACAGATATACATGAATTTTCCCAATTGAAAATGGCCCTTCAGCTGCCATTAAATGAAATTTCTCAATCTAAGTGAAAAAGAATTGGTAGCTGTCATTATAGGCAAAAAAATGTAAAGTACTACAGCATCACCTACACTGCTTACAACACAAATTTTGAAAGAACTAGAGATGCTTTATAGAAGTTTAGTTGGTTTTGAAAAGGCACATGGGTGTGTGTGTGTTTTTTTTAAACATTCTAGAAATTCGCCACCACCATTCTGTTTCTGTTGCAGAGATGACATCTATTACTATCCATCAGGGCAGACAAGGATGTTGTTCAAGCTAAAGGAAGCCAGAAGCCAAAATTTAACTGCACAGTAACAATGCACTTTTCTTCATGCAGTCTTGTTTCCTATATATTCAAATTTTCTAACATGCATTAGAATACATAAACTTGTATTCTAATGATTTTACATTTGATTTTACAACATGGGGCGGGGGGGGGAGGGGACTTGAAGAAGGACATGTCCAGGGAAGGAGAGTAAGAACTCTTACCACAATGAAAATATACATTCGTACCCAACTATATAATAAGAATGTAATCCATTTTAAGTTTTCTAGAAATATACTTCTCAAAGCTTCCCATTCACTTATGGGAAAGTTCCCTCCTCTGTGGCAAAGTGGGGGGAAATCAGTCTGCTTCCATAGAAACAGTTCAGCACACCAGGAAAGTTTAACTTTGGTCCACATGTCTGTTAGCGTAAGGACAGTCACACTGCCCATCATCAGTTCAAAAACCCAACAGATAACTTTAAAAATATATGCATTTGTTATTTCATTCTAAAACTGGCATAGGTGTTCTGTTCTCATTTCCTGCCTTTTCGGCTTGGGAATCCACTGTTGATTTGGTCTCTAAAGCCTCAGCATCTTCGTGTTCTTCTGTAGCAGCCTCAGCAGCATCTGCCTGGGTAGGCTCTCTCTCCTCTTGGTTCATGATTTCAGGGGTCACTTGATCCAAGTCTGCTTCTAGAAGCTCAGTTTGTACTTCCACTGGCATCTGATTTACCCGTTCAACATGCAGCTCCTCTACATGGACTTCAGTACCTTCTTCAGTCTGAATTCGCCCCACTTCTAGATAACTTACCTGGACCTGCTCTGGAAGCTCACTTATGTGCGACTCGTGCACTTGGCTGTCCTGGAGCAGATCTGGATGGACCTGTTCCACAGTCACTTGTGCTGAGTCCACCTGAACCTGGAGCAGTGGTAACACATGCACCTTCCCAACTTGTTCTATAATAGTCATTGACGTCACAGGTTCAGTTTGCACACGTGTTTCTACTGAAAGAACTTCTTCAGTTACCAGGCGCTCTGAAATATTATGAGTATCACTGAGATGCCTCCTTAATTCATTTCCTTGCATAAACCACAAGTCACACAGAGTACAATGGTTGGGTTTATCTCCAGTGTGTATCACCAGGTGATCTTTGAACTGGTCCCAGCTGTGAAACACACTATTACAGACCTGACATTCATAGAGCTTCTTTCTCCCCTTTTTTGCTCCCACTCCAGTTTGGCATGCAGTCAAGTGACATTTGAGGCTACTATTTCTAGCAAATCGTTCATGACAATTTGGACATTCAAAAGGTTTTTCACCTGTATGTTTTCGAAGATGCTCTTTAAAATGTCCAAAGTGGTCAAACTGCTTCTCACAGTACTGACATATGTGTATTTTTTTCCCAGTTCTCTGCTCCTTACTGACTCCACCTTCTTCCAGGTGGTAACAACTGAGGTGCTGTTTCCACGCGCTCTCCCGAAGATACATTTTATTGCATATTTCACACTTGAAACTCTCAGTGGAGTGTGATTTCATGTGTTCCTTCTACCTGTTTGCTTGTGGGGTCAGATGCACAGCCGTCTTCATCTTTAATCTGCCCTTTTCTATCGCCTTGGCGGTACTTGCTGGTAATATCTGCCAACAATGCCAGAGCGGAATCATCAGAGGAACCTGTGCTCTGAATGTACTTTATGGACTGCTTGGCAGAAGCCACTTCCTCCAACGTTTCGATGCCTTCATCTTCCACTTCGATTGTGCCTTCGGCAATCTCCACCTCAATTTCAAAAGGTTCAGATTCTGCAGATGGCAATGACTCAGTGATAACATTTGAAGTTTCTGCAATCTTTCTTTTTTGCTTCATTTTTCCCTGTGGTATTTTCCTCTAGTGGAGCTGAGTTTTCTTTGTTTCTGACTTCAAGGGCTTTGATAGCTTCTAGCATCTGTAGAAACTCTGCTGATTTCCATACATCATTGGCTTCTTCTTCTCCTTGTATCATTAACTTTGCTGTATATGTGAACTCAATCAAACGACGAAAGGCCATTTTACTAACACCTTCTATCTCCACCAAAGGTTCCTGAGTAAACTCCTGAAAGAATTTATAGAAGAACTTGCTGCAAGCAGCCAAAACAGCCTTGTGGGCCTTAAAATGGTGTCCGTCGACAATCAGGGTGATGTCAGTAAACCGGTCCTGCTCTCGCTGTTCATTCAATCGGTCCAGGATCATTTTATGATGTTCAGGGAACTCCTGAAGGCATTCCATCGTCTCTTCGGCCTCCATGGCCGTCCGGTTGCTCTACAAAAGAGGAGCATGATAATGTACACCCATGAGCTCGGGCTGAGGAACAAAACCCCTAAAGCACAAAATAACAACAAAAAAAGCAAAACCCCAGCAACGTGAAAGAAAGGGGGAGGGTGAGGCAAGAGGAGAGGAAGGCGAGGGAAGAAAGAAAGGCGAGCCGGGCGGCCGCCGCGCGTTGGGGGCCAGAGCCGCGGCCATGGGACTCCGAGCCTGACCTAACTGGAGTCAGGAGACGCGAGCTGGAGCGGGGTGGGCACAGCACCGGACGCTCCTAGCGCCGGGGCGCGCAAGTCCGGCAGGGGAGGAGACCCTACAGCCGGCGCGGCCCGCTAACGGCCCGCCAAGCCCCTCGGCCCGGCCCTGGATCCCGCCTTCCCGGGACCAGGTCCGGCCCACGGCCCACAACGACTCCCGGGTCGCCTCTCCCTCCCCCGCCCTCCCTCCTCTCCCCCGACCCGACCGGGCCGGCACTCACGCAGGGAACGAGAGGCCTCCTCTTGAGGTGCTTCTCCAGATTTGGCATACGTCTTGATACTAAGCCAGGGAATCAGCTCTCATCTCGAGACGATTTGGGGTACACGGAGCATTCCTCGAGTTGCTGTGCTGAAGTTGGTGTTCCTCTAGACTTGGGACAGTGTTCTCGGGGCATCTCTGGAGTTACCTGAAGGAAGTCAAGCCACTGGTCGTGTTGAATGGGGAACGGGGGATGGCTCTGGAGTCAAGGCAGGGGAATCGGGCCTCATCTCGAGTTGATTTGGGGCACGTGGAGCTGCTGTGCGTTGCTGGGGTGACCTCAGGGTCCGTGTAGACTTGTGACAGTGTACTTGGGGACTGTCTCGAGATCCATTAAGCAAGTCGAAGCTCCTGACTTGTTTGATGGGGATCACGGAATAGCTCTGCATGCACTGCAGGGGAATGGGGCCTCATCTCGCCTCTAGGGGGAAGTCTCAAGGTTTTTCTCGATTTGCGGCAGGGAACTTGGGTATGTTCTCGAGTTACGGCGGGGATGGCCCTTCAAAATACGTGTTTATTCACTGACGTCAGGACTCCTGTCTAGTAACGAGGGACACCTCCGGAATCTCTTCGAGGCTTGCCAGGGCAAAAGCGATGCTTCTCGAGGTGAGGCAGGGCACCCAAGGACCCTTTCCAGTAGCCACAGGGATTTTGGGATTCCTATCAGTATTCAAGAGGAGTCAGGCATCGTCACCTTTTGAAGCAGTGAACTCCGCCTGCCTCTCGAGGTGTCAACGGGATGTGAGGCATTCCGTCAAAATGAGGCACGGGCCTAGAGCTTTCTCTAAGGTCTCCACAAGGGATTCAGACATCCTTTCATGTTGTGAGATGAAAGATGAGCCTGTATTCAAGCCACTGCAAGGAAATCCGGCCTCCTTTCAAGTTAGGGCTTCTCGCTGTATATTCCCCTTGAGGCAGCAAACTCGGGGTCCGTCACACACACCTATTTCTGAGAGAAGCCTACTCTTGAGGTGCTTCTGGAGAGTTGGCATACGTCTTGAGCCAAAGCCAGGAAATCAGCTCTCATCTCGAGACGATTTGGGGTACACGGAGCATTCCTCGAGTTGCTGTGCTGAAGTTGGTGTTCCTCTAGACTTGGAACAGTGTTCTCTGGGCATCTCTGGAGTTCCTGAAGGAAGTCAAGCGACTGGTCGTGTTGAATGTGGAACGGGGGATGGCTCTGGAGTCAATGCAGGGGAATCGGGCCTCATCTGGAGTTGATTTGGGGCACATGGAGCTGCTGTGCGTTGCTGGGGTGACCTCAGGATCCGTCTAGACTTGTGACAGTGTACTTGGGGACTCTCTCGAGATCCATTAAGCAAGTCGAAGCTCCTGACTTGTTTAATGGGGATCACGGAATTGCTCTGCAAGCAATGCAGTGGAATCGGGCCTCATATCGCATCTAAGGTGAAGTCTCATGGTTTTTCTCGAGTTGCGGCGGGGACCTGGGGTATGTTCTCGAGTTACGGCGGGGATGGCCCTTCAAAACACGTGTTTATTCAGTGACGTCAGGACTCCTGTCTAGTAACGAGGGACACCTCACGAATCTCTTCGAGGCTTGGCCAGGCAAAAGGGACGCTTCTCGAGGTGAGGCAGGGCCCCCAAGGACCCTTTCCTGTAGCCACAGGGATTTTGGGATTCCTATCAGTATTCAAGAGGAGTCAGGCATCGTCACCTTTTGAAGCAGTGAACTCCGCGTGCCTCTCGAGGTGTCAACGAGATGTGAGGCCTTCCGTCAAAATGAGGCAGGGACCTAGGGCTTTCTCTAAGGTCTCCACAGGGGATTCAGACATCCCTTCATGTTGTGAGATGAAAGACGAGCCTGTATTCAAGCCACTGCAAGGAAATCCGGCCTCCTTTCACGTTAGGGCTTCTCGCTGTATATTCCACTTGAGGCAGCAAACTCGGGGTCCTTCCCACATACCTATTGCTGAGGGAATCCTCCTCTTTTTTTTTTTTTTAATTTTAAAGTTTACTTTAAAAATATAAGTATCTCCCAATATTTAACAGGTAAAGAAAAGAGCATATTGGTTTATTTTCTGTAGTTGTTATATTTTATTTTCCATGTAATACTGATTAAAAATATTTACACACCTACTTTTAAGTCCACAGTTTAGCATTCTTATTTGTATGGCTTTAAAAATTATAGCACACGATCTTTATATTAAGGATTGGGGGAAAAGATTCATTCAAAACAAAGCCTGATATATTATATACATGTTTTTCTCTGTACTTTGTTTTAAATACATTAATTTTTAAATGATGCTCATCTTGTTTTCATCTGGTGGTAAAATTACTAGTGCAACTTTTTATCAAAATAAAGTTTACCACAGATATACATGAATTTTCCCAATTGAAAATGGCCCTTCAGCTGCCATTAAATGAAATTTCTCAATCTAAGTGAAAAAGAATTGGTAGCTGTCATTATAGGCAAAAAAATGTAAAGTACTACAGCATCACCTACACTGCTTACAACACAAATTTTGAAAGAACTAGAGATGCTTTATAGAAGTTTAGTTGGTTTTGAAAAGGCACATGGGTGTGTGTGTGTTTTTTTTAAACATTCTAGAAATTCGCCACCACCATTCTGTTTCTGTTGCAGAGATGACATCTATTACTATCCATCAGGGCAGACAAGGATGTTGTTCAAGCTAAAGGAAGCCAGAAGCCAAAATTTAACTGCACAGTAACAATGCACTTTTCTTCATGCAGTCTTGTTTCCTATATATTCAAATTTTCTAACATGCATTAGAATACATAAACTTGTATTCTAATGATTTTACATTTGATTTTACAACATGGGGCGGGGGGGGGAGGGGACTTGAAGAAGGACATGTCCAGGGAAGGAGAGTAAGAACTCTTACCACAATGAAAATATACATTCGTACCCAACTATATAATAAGAATGTAATCCATTTTAAGTTTTCTAGAAATATACTTCTCAAAGCTTCCCATTCACTTATGGGAAAGTTCCCTCCTCTGTGGCAAAGTGGGGGGAAATCAGTCTGCTTCCATAGAAACAGTTCAGCACACCAGGAAAGTTTAACTTTGGTCCACATGTCTGTTAGCGTAAGGACAGTCACACTGCCCATCATCAGTTGAAAAACCCAACAGATAACTTTAAAAATATATGCATTTGTTATTTCATTCTAAAACTGGCATAGGTGTTCTGTTCTCATTTCCTGCCTTTTCGGCTTGGGAATCCACTGTTGATTTGGTCTCTAAAGCCTCAGCATCTTCGTGTTCTTCTGTAGCAGCCTCAGCAGCATCTGCCTGGGTAGGCTCTCTCTCCTCTTGGTTCATGATTTCAGGGGTCACTTGATCCAAGTCTGCTTCTAGAAGCTCAGTTTGTACTTCCACTGGCATCTGATTTACCCGTTCAACATGCAGCTCCTCTACATGGACTTCAGTACCTTCTTCAGTCTGAATTCGCCCCACTTCTAGATAACTTACCTGGACCTGCTCTGGAAGCTCACTTATGTGCGACTCGTGCACTTGGCTGTCCTGGAGCAGATCTGGATGGACCTGTTCCACAGTCACTTGTGCTGAGTCCACCTGAACCTGGAGCAGTGGTAACACATGCACCTTCCCAACTTGTTCTATAATAGTCATTGACGTCACAGGTTCAGTTTGCACACGTGTTTCTACTGAAAGAACTTCTTCAGTTACCAGGCGCTCTGAAATATTATGAGTATCACTGAGATGCCTCCTTAATTCATTTCCTTGCATAAACCACAAGTCACACAGAGTACAATGGTTGGGTTTATCTCCAGTGTGTATCACCAGGTGATCTTTGAACTGGTCCCAGCTGTGAAACACACTATTACAGACCTGACATTCATAGAGCTTCTTTCTCCCCTTTTTTGCTCCCACTCCAGTTTGGCATGCAGTCAAGTGACATTTGAGGCTACTATTTCTAGCAAATCGTTCATGACAATTTGGACATTCAAAAGGTTTTTCACCTGTATGTTTTCGAAGATGCTCTTTAAAATGTCCAAAGTGGTCAAACTGCTTCTCACAGTACTGACATATGTGTATTTTTTTCCCAGTTCTCTGCTTCTTACTGACTCCACCTTCTTCCAGGTGGTAACAACTGAGGTGCTGTTTCCACGCGCTCTCCCGAAGATACATTTTATTGCATATTTCACACTTGAAACTCTCAGTGGAGTGTGATTTCATGTGTTCCTTCTACCTGTTTGCTTGTGGGGTCAGATGCACAGCCGTCTTCATCTTTAATCTGCCCTTTTCTATCGCCTTGGCGGTACTTGCTGGTAATATCTGCCAACAATGCCAGAGCGGAATCATCAGAGGAACCTGTGCTCTGAATGTACTTTATGGACTGCTTGGCAGAAGCCACTTCCTCCAACGTTTCGATGCCTTCATCTTCCACTTCGATTGTGCCTTCGGCAATCTCCACCTCAATTTCAAAAGGTTCAGATTCTGCAGATGGCAATGACTCAGTGATA